GGGGGGCGGTGGGGAGAGTGAGGGGGAGGAAGGTAGGCCATGCCGGGTCACCGGCCTGGGCTCGCACCCGGCTCAGTAGCTTCCTGGTCGCTTGGCTCGCAGCTAGCCAGGCCACCCTTGTGGGCCTCGGCTTCCACATCTGTAAGAATGGATGATACCTTCTGACTTCCGAGTGTCGTGGGGCTCACGTGAGATGTTGCATGAATAGCATTCGATACATGTAAAGCACTGTATCGCCCCACAGCCCAGAACACGGGGTGTGGGGCCAGACGGAAAGAAGAGTGGTGAGTCCTGCCCCAGTCCCTGGCTGCCCAAGTGGACCCTGAGCAGCCCTTATGAGTGTCAGTTTCCTCATCTATAAAATGGGGGTGACATTGATGCCCACCTCCCCGGCTTGCAGTGAGAGACCAAGAGAGTGAGGCAGGCAACACGCTTGGCTTAGTGCCTGGGTTAGTTCCTGTTCCCTACAAAGCGGTGGTCATTATTGCATATAATCCTATCCAACGAAAGGGTGGGTCAGGAGACACGGGTTTGAATCCTGCATTAGCCACGCCCCTGAGCTCACGTGACCGCCCTGGGTTTTGCCCTCCTGCCAGATCAGGACAGGAAAGGCCCCCACCTCAGAGGGTGGATGTCAGGCTCTCGGGAGGTAACGCATACAAGTTCCCATTGAGAGGGTAAAACGTCTGACTCAGGGTAGGCACGGGCGAAGTGCTCAGCTGACACCAGAGGCCCGCTGTGTGCGGATGGGGCCTGGCGATCATATACCAATGAGACTGGCACCTGGGAAGGCCGCCACACAGAGATGGGGCATTTTCTCACTCACTTTCTTCTGCGTCACGTAGAAGGACTGTGGCTTCCAGCCTCAGAGCCCAGAGATTTGGAAACTCAGGAGGCTGTCAGCATGGGTCTGGCTGGAATGTTCCAGATTCCCTGGCCCACCCTGCTCCCTCTCTCTCTGTGATGAACTGTTTACGGAGCCTCACACTGGGCACTTGCAACAGAGAGCCAGGCAGTGGGTGGACTATGGTGTTAGTCCTCGATGCCACCCCGGTTGGCCTCTCCCCCAAAACACAGATTCAGATTAGAGCAGCAGAGGGAACTAATGTTTGCGGAAAGTCAATGAGAAACCAGGTGCCTTCCATGTGCTCTGTTTAATTTAAACTTTGTAAGTGTCTTGAAAGGCAGAGATAATTTGTTCTACTTCACAAATGAAGCAGCTGAGGCCCAGAGAGGGTAAGTAACTTGCTTGAAGTCACGCAGTCAAGATGTACTGATCTCGCACCTACTTAAAAGTCCTTTCTACTTGAAGCCATATGCTTCGATCCTTTGCTCTTTCCCACTTGCTCTGAGGATAAATACAAACTCCTTGCCATACCTCACATGCTCCAGCACTATCTGACCCTGCCCACACTCCTGTCTTCTAGCTCCCTGTTCCAGCCATCCCGTGGTCCTTTGTACCTGCTGCCCCTTTAGTGTATACTTCCTGCTCCTTCTTACCCAGTTAACTCCCAGTCCTTAGCCCAAAGTCACTTTCTCCAGGATCCTTTCCCTCATTCCCCAGAAACACTCCTGATTTCCTCTATTGTGCCATCCATAGAACTTCCCTGTAATTACTGCTCAGTGGTCTTTCTTCCACCCGGGACCGTAAGTTCCACGAGAGCAGAGGCCATGACTGTGCCGCTCACCACTGAATTCCTAGGGCCTGGCTCAGTGTCTGGCAGGTGGTATGAAGATACTCTATAAATATTGCTCAATGGAGGAATTAATAGGTGAATGGGTGGGTGAATGGATGGATGGGTAGATGGATGGTTGGGTGGATGGGTGGATAGATGGATGGATGGATGAATGAATGGGTGGTTGGCTGGATGAACTGATAGACAGTTGGATGGGTAGATAATAGATAAATGCATGGATAGATGTATAGATGGGTGGATACATGGATGAGCGGGTGGAGAGATGAATGAGTGGATAGGTGAGTGGCTGGATGGGTAGGTGGATGGATACATGGACGGAAGGGTGGATGGATGATGGATGGACAATGGATGGGTGGCTAGATAAATGGGTGGGTGGATGAATGGACAGATAACTAGATGGATGATGGACGGATGGGTGTGTGGATGCATCAGTGGATGAGTAGATGGGTGGATGGAAGGGTAGAGATGGTTGAGTAGGTGGATTGTTGGGTAGGTGGATGGAAGGCTGATGGATGGGTGGGTGTGTGGACGATGGATGGATGTGGGTAAGTAGATGGACGGTTGACAGATGGATAGATGGATGGGTGGGTAGGCCGGTGGAAAAATGGAGTGTGGATAGATTGGTGGATAGATGAATGGGTGGATGGACACGGGATGAAGTCATCTCACCTCCTTGAACCTCGGTTTCCTCCTCTGCAAAATGAGGCTCCCCTCCCCACCCTCTAGAGACATCCACAGGCAAGAGCCTAGGCCGGGGTCTGGCCCACAGCAGCAGTCAGAGTCATTCAACACCCACCTCTCCCCGCTCCACTCCCCCACCCTCATCCTTCTTTGCTTTGGCCCCGGTCCTCACGGTATTTGCCAGATGCCAGCCACCCTGTGATGGCGATGGTGATATGCAGCTGCCTGCCTTCTGTCAGAGGCAGAAATGTGAACTCTTCAATGGCCCCGACACGCTTCTTCATCTTGTATCCTAAAGACGTAGATACAAAAATGAGGATGGGATTAGTGAGAGTGGCTCTCTGTGCTCTCAAACTCACAGTGAGTGCCAACTGTTTGCCTTGCCCCTGGAAACATGTCTCATTTTTTAAATCGTTAAAGGTAGGTGCCATTATTGTCCCTGATTACAGCCAAGGGTCAGAGGCTTCCAAAGGCTGGCCAGCTCTAGTGGCAGAGCTGGGGCTGGAACTCGCTGGCCCATTGTGACTCCGTTGGTTCTATGTGTTTTCTCCTGCCCATGCGTGTCATGGGTGTAATATACGCCTCTCAAAAAACCGGATCAAACTGATGAGGATTCTCAACACGGGGAGGGATGGACCCCACCTGAGGAGTGGAACAGGAATCTCTGTGTGTGACTGGGGGGCTACTGGCACATATGATCTGGAAAACCCACCCAGGAGACACTGGTAATTTCAGGGTATCCTCGTGGCCTCTGAACATGAAGAAGCCCATGTGTTTCCGAGGTGGCCTGCCTGGAAATTTCCTGGATGGAGACCAGCAGGTCCAATCAGACCCTCCTCAGAAAATCTGTAGAGGGGCAGGTGCTCACATCCAGCTCTTTTCTGACCCACGCCAGGCTCCTGGGGCAGGTCTGTGGGAAGCCTGCTATGGGTTCTGGCGGGGCTGGGACCCAGCGTGAGAAAAGCCGTATCCTCCTCCGTCCCTGGGGGAGCCGTCTTGGGTGAGAATCTGGGCATGTTTTGGAACAGCCGGGCGCCCCTGGCTGAAAATCCCCTCTAGGCCACCACCCCTTTGGAGCCTTACCTGTCAGGCCGGCTCCAGCCGCACCAAACAGCGAGGTCAGGACAGCGATGCCAGCCACTGAGCCCAGAGCCGCTGCCCCGGCACTGCCGATGATAGTCGCAGCGCCAGCGGCAACAAGAGGGGCAGCCAGACCCCCGGTGACGCCTGCAAGAACAATCCACGGTTGGTGAAGATGGGAAGATGCGGCCCACTGGGTTCTTCCCCCGTCAGCTGCCCAGTGCCTTCCATGGATGCTTCTAACGCTAATGAATGTGCTTTCTGCTGACAGAGCACCTAGTGCGAGCTGGGGCCACCTCCCAGCTGCCCTCCTTACGCTCTCCTCTCTAGCTTCGAGCCTGGCACCGTCCCTGGCTCCGCACTGGCCCACGTGCCACCGGCTCAGCCTGGGCTGGCCTTACCGATCACCGTCCCGCCTCCGACAGTTGCCAGGCCTATCAGGAGATAGCGCTTCCATTTCCTCCGGTTTTCCTTCTTCTTCCGGGATGCCTCAGCCGTTCTGGGGGAAAAGAGGTTGGTCGTTAGGGCTGGCTGTGCCTGGGAGCCCGTGAGGCCACCCCGCCCCACTCAGCCCCCAAGACTGGGATTGATGCTGCCATGCAGAGCAAGGTACCAAAGTCACCCTGGGCCCATCGATGGTTTTACAAAGCTGGAAAGTTTCTACAACCCAGCTGGGAAATCCCAGCGAGTGGGACGTGCTACTTACCCGACCGATCCATCCTAACAGGGTTGCAATTTGAATAACAAAAAGACAAAAAAATAGTAATAATAGCAAGAGCAGCACAAAAAAAAATATCTTTGAACAGACGGACCCAGAATGAGTAGCAAATATAATCACAGACTCCGTCACCGCCATCTTCCCATCCCTCCCTGCCCCCCACCATCTGGTCCCAGATCCCTCGGGAAAGGTCTGCCAGTTGGAGACCTTGGCCTTGGGGCAATAGCTAGAATCAGTCAGACTTGACACTTAAAAGCTATCAAGCGGAGCAGAAAGGAGGCACGTGGGGTGAACGGGGTCAGGCGAACGGGAGAATGGCCGCTGTGAGTGTCCCTGAGCCTGGCTCTGGCGTCTGGCGAGCAGCCCTCGCTGCTGTGGGGCAAGAAGGAGGAGGACGAGGGACCAAGGGCAGGTCGGTGAGGTCTTCACGAGCTCGAACTCTGAGCTGACGGTGGAGTTTGGACAGCAACTCAACGTATGGTGTGATAGCAGACGATAATGATAAAGAGGGAAAATGGTTAATATTTACTGAGGAATTCCTTCTCGCTGGCCACTGTGCTTTGTATTTCAAGTGGGTTATCTTATCCTGGAAGCAGGATCATTATTATTGTCCGAGCTGGGCGCTCAGGATCTGCTATGCCTTCTGGTTCCCTGCCAGCTCACCTCTATAAATTCTTGTCCTACGTCCCTCCTGGGTGTTCAGGACAGCCTTTTGCAGCTACTTCACTACAGGGAGGCGGAAACATGGAAGATAAAAGTCTCCATGCACGGGGCGCCTGGGTGGCTCCGTGGGTCGAGCGTCCAGCTTCAGCTCAGGACGTGATCTCACGGTTCATGAGTTCGAGCCCCATAGAGTTTGGGCTCTGTGCTGTGAGTGTGGAGGCTGCTTCAGATCCTCTGTCCCCCTCTCTCCGCCCCTCCCCCACTTGCATTCTCTCTCTCTCTCTCTCTCTCTCTCTTTCTCTGTCAAAAATAATAAACATTAAAAAAAAATGGTTTCCCAGGGCTGGTTTCCCAGGGCTGAAATTCATGCCATCAGACATGGGATGAGACGTGAACGGTGTGCATCTAGCCAAGTGGAAGGCAAGGTGGCGACACAGAGTGTGGGTTCTGACATCAGAATTCGACCCTGTGAACTTGACTCTGACCTCTGCGGTGTGGTACTGGAGCACCAGGTTTGATTCTCCCTGCCTGCACTGGCCCTCCCCGCAGAAAGATGACATCCTTGCCCTGTGGAACTGAGGGGCCCCGTGACCCACTTCAGCCACTGAAACGTAGGCAGGAGGGAGGTGTATCACTTGTGGCACAATCTTTAAGAGTCAGTCAGATGAGTATCCTGCTCTGCCCTGAATCAGCAACGTTCCAGATGGAAGTCACTCTGTCACCCCAGGCCCAAGACAGTGTGGACTAAAGCCACCGGGGTGTGCAGTGGACAAGTACTGGGAAACAGGACCCACAGCTTTGCTGCTGTAAGCCACTGAGATGGGGCGGTCATTTGTTACTGCAGCAAAACCCAGTCCATCCCGATGGGAGAGCCACTTACTAACTGTGTGACTAAGCACCAGTCTGACTTGCCTCACCCAAGTGGGGATAATAATAGCACTTAATCCCTGGGGGCGTCACGAGGTTAAGTGAGATCATCCACATCCAGTGGCTGGCATATTGTAATGGGTCGGTATGTTTGCTGTTATTATCATTCCTTTTATTACTACAACTTATTCCACACACAAGGCTGGAGATACACTTTGGCCCTTAATTGCTAGCACCATTCCAGGCAAACAGGAAGACTGGGAATGAGCTGCTTTTGGCAGAGTTCAAGGTCTGAGGTGAAACGCAAGCTGCTGAGGACGTGCAATAAGATCGCGCACTGGGACAAGTGGCTGGGTCTGTGAATCAGCGGCATCTCGTTTAACCAACTCGGGCTGGGAAACAGTCTGGAAGTTTGGGGCAGAGGTATTTGAGCCCAGCTCTGCCATGATCTCTCTGGGTCAGCCAATGCTTCTGAGCCTCAATTTTCTCCCTTAGGGACTGGCGATGGGGGGATATGGACAGCACCACCATAGCGATATATACAGTATAACCCCGACTGTCTGCCTCCCTCCCTCCCCACCTCTCTGTCCTCCCTCTGCCTTGAGGGCAGCGTCACCTTTCCGACATGACACCTGGCCCCTGCCTCCTTTCCAGCTTCACTGCTCATTACTTTCTCACACTCTGCCCTCCAAAAACACACTGCCTACGCCTCAGTCCCTGTGCTCCTGGGGCCTCCACGGTTTCACCTTCTCACCTTCCTTTGACTGGCTAAACATTAGTCACCATTCAAGATGACATCATTCCTCCTCCAGGAAGCCTGCCTGAGCCCTGACTCTGGGGCCCCTAACCCTCTGTCCTCAACATGGAATTCTAGACCATTGTTTTTCAAAGGGTGGGGCTTTGTCTCAACTGCATCACAAGCCCCCAGGGTAGCTGTTAAAAGCACCCAGGGGGGCGCCTGGGTGGCTCAGTCGCTTTAAGCATGGCACTTCGGCTCAGGGCATGATCGCACGGTTCATGAGTTCGTGAGCTCGAACCCCGCATCGGGCTGTCTGCAATCAGCACTGTCCCCCCCTCTCTGCCCCTCTCCTGCTTGCACATATTCTTTCTCTCTCTCTTAAAAATAAATAAACGTTAAAAGGAAAAAAGACACCACTTCCTGGGCCAGAAGCTCTGGGCAGGACGGTGGGAAAGCTGGACCTGGAACAAGCCGTCCAGGGACCCGCTGTATCTTGAGTTGGAGGATTGCACAGATAGGACCTTTCTTGCTCGCTGCCCTCAGCAGCTTGTCCAGGGCTTGGGACCTGGAAGGTGCTCAGAAAACACCTTTCTCGAGCAGAACCTAATCACTCCAACAAGGACTGGACGTAAACATATTGCTGCAGTATCTATCCCCCCGATCACTGCCCACATCTACAAAGCCAGCGCGGCATTTTGGCTAAATATTCAGGCAGAGAATAGGCCGACCACCATCAATAATAAAACTTCTGAGATATTCGGACAAATTTGGAATGTTATAAAATTGCATAAATTTCTGCTCCTACATTGTTCCTGCAGTGACATCTGCACATCCATGATACTAGATAATCTTCCCTTTTAGCTGAGTTTATGGAAGGGGAAACCCAGAGCCTAAAGGGAATAAAATAACTAAAAAGTAAATGTGGTTCTTGAAGCTGTTTTATTTCAATGTATGAGTGCTGGTACAATCAAATCAATTTTACAAAGATTAGATGGATGATACACTCTAATCTCTAGTATTCAGCTTTGTATTATTGTTGGAATGTTCATAAAAATTTGCTGGATCAAAGAGAATACAGTATTTTCCCCAGAGTTATTCAGCTAATTCCCTCTCCAATGTTTACCTGAACTAATCTCCTTATTTAAGTCCTCAAATGTTAATAACTGTTTTGTACGTAAAATGAATAGCTTTCCCAATCATCCTTAATTATCACAGCATTTTACCCCTGCAATTAATTCCATTGTGTGAATTTCAACATCTAAAGCACCACAATGTTGGCTCGGAGTTACGTCTACAATGCTTCCTATATTAGGAAGTGGGAATTCAGATCACAACACTAAATCCAAATGGAACCCTGTCCCCATCACTGACTGCCTACGGGTTAGATACCAGGCCAATCTCTGCCATCCTACCTATGGTCCTGGCCACATTCATGCCTCAGGATGCTAGAAATGACCTTGAGTTGGCGTTGCATGTGAGCCTTCCCAGGCCAGAGGCTGAAGCCATAGCGAAGGGCGAGACACCCACACCGCCCGTCTCACGGATCCACAAATAAATGTTGCCCACGGCTATCTCCTCTCCCATGACAGGGTGGTTCTTACCCTTATCACCATCACCACCACCTTCTTCTTGTTTTCTTTTTTAATCACCTTCTCCAGTTCATAGACAGTGAGTATATTTCTGGGAGGTCTGGAGACACTTTCCTAGTAAACACTCAGAAAGCCCCATTAAGAATTATCTTTACTGCTTTTTTTCAGAAGGAAGGAAGGAACTGGGGCTTGTCAACCATGAGGTGAGGGATGTACTAAGGGCCGTTCAGAGGGATATGGTAGTTGAGTCTGAGGGCGCCACTGGCCAGTGGTGCAACCTCGGGTGAGGCAGTCAGCCCTCTGACCTTCTGTTTCTTCTTCTGCGAAACCCTCAGGGGCTTGTGTGCCCATCTTGTCCCGCATCTACTAAGGGCTCAGTGAAAGTTAGATGTTGACCATGTCATTCTGATGTGATCAGTATCAGCCTCCAGCAGCACAGCAGCCAACATTTACTGGCACCTACTATGTGCTAGGGCACTGTTCCAAGTTTTTGATATGTAGCCGTTTAATCCTTGCAACAGCCCTATGACGGGGATACTGCTATTACCCCCATGTGGGAGGTGAAGGAAATGAGGCACAGAGAAGGGAGGTCACCAAGCCTGTGGGGGAAGCCTGGATGGCCTCAGGGCTCAGACGGGGACCTGAGAACAGCAATGTGGTACCTTACACCTGAACTAGAGTAGCAAAGGATCGCCTCAGGGTGTCGAGTGATAAGCTCACCTTGCAGAAATGCAAACCTTGGAGCTAAAAGAAACCTGCACAAAATTTGATCCTGTACTTGTATAGGTGAAAAAAAAAACTGGTGCTGTTGACCAGAGAGGGAAAGCCACATGCCCAGGGCCACACAGACACTTAACAGAATCACGCTGAGACTAGGCCGAGACTAGGTCTCCTGGCCCAACAGTTGTTAGCTTCCTCTGGGTCTCAGACCCTTCCAGAGCCCACAGGTAGAACCTGAGAGGTCTCTACGGTCCCTAAATTGGAATTAAAAAAATTACACACGTGGAGTATTTTTTGAGGAAAGGGAATATCAGCAATGATGACTGTACTATAGCAAATGATGATGTTTATCAACTAGTTTACTCCATGCGAAGCCTGCTCAGAGCACTTGTATGAACTCATTTGAGCCCTACGAGAGACCTAGAAGGAGGGTGCTATTATTATCCCCATTTTGCAGAGAAGCAAACTGAAGCCCAGAGAAGTTAAATAATTTCCCCAATGTCACATGCTGAGAAGTGGCCATATTAGAACTTGTTTCACAGGGTCCCTGATCTGGCATTACTAATATTATCAGAACAAATCCTCTGGACAATACGTTTTTTCGGATGATAAGATTTCCAAACAAATAGCTAACAAAAACAAATAGCTCTCCCTTCATCTCAAGGTGTGTGTGTGCATGTGTGTGTATGTGTGTGCGTGCGTGGGCGATACATCCAAAGAATCTGGGCGGTGCTTGTGATTATGGGAATTGGCCTGGCTCCGGGTGTTTCTTTACTGACCCAGCTCTGGGAGTCAAAACAAGCCGGTTTTCAGGTTATTTCAACAGATCCAGTTTCCCCCTTTCTCAAGGAACCAACCCCTTCCTGGCAGGAGGGCAGCTCCAGCCCTGAACCTGGCTTCAAAGCTAACTTCCCAGTGGGGTTGAACTGGCTCAACCCGGCTGCTCAAAGATAGCCATGGTGGCCCAGACCAAAAGGACGCTGGAAGACGTGCCTGGTTCAAGGAGCCTGCAATTAGGCTGTGACTGGGATTGGCTTTATTGCTCTGGGATCAGATCCTGCGTGAGGTGTTCCACAAGGAGCTGAGCTCTGGCCAAGTCACCAGGATACTTTCCCTCTGCACACTCCTGACCACACAAAGATAGCAAAGTCGCTCTGCAGCTGGTAGGTATATGCGGCCGTGGGGGAAGGGAAGGCCTCATATCTACTGAGCACTTGCTCTGTGCCAGCCCCAGGCCAAGCCCTCTACGTGATCCCATTCGTTTTTCACAGTGACCCTGGGAAGACTCTATCCTTACACCCATTCTACAGATAAGAACAGTGTGGTTTAGAGACGCTGGGGGCGGGGCGGGGGAGCACCTGCCCAAGGTCAAAAAGCAGCTGGGTGTCAGAGGTAGGATTTTAATCTAGGCCACTCCGGCCCATGGACAAGATGTCATGAGAGCCTGAGGCGGAGCGGGATATTGGGGCCATCAGTGTTAAAGTTATAGACTCACAGGCCTCAGGAATAATCCATTCAATCCCCATTTCCTACAATTGAGGACTGGGGCCCCCGAGAGGGGAAGTGACTTGGTAAGGCCACACAGCAAGTCAGGGCTGCACTGGGACTCTCGGTCCAGTGCTCCTTCCACTTCAACGGACCATCTCTTAATGGGGTCATGGGGACAGAAGGGGAACCTCTGTTATCCGAAAAGTGCAAGTTCCTGATTCCTGGCAAGTGGAGCTAGGGTCACAGGGCTCCCTTACTCAGATTCCTCCTCTTTGGTTTCCTTCAGGCTCTCAAGGAACGTCTCTTCAAGGAGATCCAGCTCCCCCACGGGCACTCGGAAGAGGGAGGTCATGTGGCAAATGAGGACTCGGGCCCGTGCATCATAACACCCTCGAAAGAGAGACACAAGGGCAGAGAATCAGTTTGGCCTTTAAGCACAGCGACATTAACAGCGGTGTAACGGATAAAACCCACACCCTAGAAACGTCCTACATGCACAACCCCAAGGAAGCGGTCCGTTAAACCACAGGACAGACTCCCAGGCCGAATAGTGTGCAACAATGAAAACCACTGATCGGGAGTAAGATGGTCTTTTTCACCAGTCGAATGAGCAAACATGAGTTCTTTCCAACCCCAGAGCTGTGAAGAAGGTGGTGAAAACAGGTAGGTGCTCGAGGACACTGCTGCTGGGAGTGTGTGTTGATTTTAACCGCCGAGGGCAGCAATTTGACAATATGGATCAAAAGCTGAGCACAGTGCACACCCCCAAAATCGTAGAGACAGAAAGGAGAATGGCGGCCGGGGGCTAGGAGAGGGGACAAGGGGGAGTCAGTGATGATGGGGACAGACTTTCAGTTTTGCAGGATGAAAAGAGCTCTGGAGATGGATGGACGGTGGTGGGAGCACAACACGGCAAGTTGGGGAATGCTACTGAACCGTACAGTTAAAAGTGGGTAAAATACTGAAGTATATGTTACGTGTATTTTGCCGCAATTAACAAAAAGTGGGGGGGAGGAGGTGTGCATCCCCATTGGCCCAGGAATTCCATTTCTGAAACCCTAAATCTTTTTTTTAAGTGTTTATTTTTGAGAGAGAGACAGAGAGAGATAGAGATAGAGAGAGACAGAGACAGAGCATGAGCGGGGGAAGGGGCAGAGAGAGAGGGAGACACAGAATCTGAAGCAGACTCCAGGCCCTGAGCTGTCAGCACAGAGCCCGACGCGGGGCTCAAACCACGAACATGATCATGACCTGGGCCGAAGTCAGACGTTCAACTGGCTGAGCCACCCAGATGCCCCTCTGAAACTCTAAATCTTAAGAAAACAATCCCAGATGTAGAAAACAGTAAGTGAAGGCCCTACTTTATAAGGTGAGAGTGATAACAATCTGGAGACTTCTAACATCAGGGGGTTAGACAGGTAAACCACAGCATGTCCACCCTGTGGAGAATAAGCCATTAAAAAAAAAAAAAAAAAGATTCCTAAGAAGTTTGTAAATCTGAAAAAATGCTTATGTAATGAAAGAAATTTTTAAATGGAGAGATTTCTTGATAATATGGCATCAGGGCCCAACTAAGGGGGAAAAAAAAAACACTGCATAGGAAAAAGGGAGAGAAATAGACCAAATAGGATTTTTTTCCCATCTTTCCAAAATTATCCATAATGAGCTTGGGTTAATTTTCTAATTGGAAAAATTAAGCGACCAAAGGTGGTCTGTCCAAGCTCTATTTATTATAGCCCAGAAGCTTGTAAGAATGCATTAGTATCTGGTTAGTGCAGAGTGGGGACCTGAGGGTGCCCCATGTCAGAGAGTGACACGGCTCAGCCACCCAAACGAGACCGGGAATACACCCATCCTCCTCCTTCATCCTCACAGCCCAAGGGCCCGGGACCCTTAGTTTATCCAAAAGCAGCTCTAATGTGTCCTTTCCCTGCTTCTCCCCCGCCCTCACCCCATTCCATTGGGAGGGCGGCCTTTTCGACCAGGACAGTCTGGTGGTCCCTGTTCTCTGTAGAGAACCTACATGGTGAGCTTAGCAGGGCAGCAAGGCGCCTCGGGGTGAAGCATGTCAGCACCTCAAGTCCCCAAACTGCCACCATAGTCTCCTGTCATCTGCTGACACTGGGGCTCCCCTCTGCCTCACCCAACTGGCTCCAGACTCTGGTGGGGACAAGAGGGGTGTTACTCGGACCCCTGACTGCCACTCCCCCCCACCAAGAGATTCTGGTTCCATAGTGGTGGGACGGGCCCCCGGGGCCTGTCCCTGCAGGTACACAGCCAGATTTGAGGACCACTGGCCTGGGGGCCGGGAGTCGGAGGCACAGAGCTGCTGTTACTCCTGACTCTGCTCTCGGGTCTCCCTCCCTCAGTCTCCCACTCTTGCCCTCCTTGATTCTTCTCCAACCCAGAAACAACTCCATGACTGGAGATGGGACTCCAGTCAGGGGTCTCACTCTGCTTTCTTTTTTCTTTGGTGATAATGAAGAAATTGGTCATGACAGAACCAAATCCAAACCCTAACTTGACCTATGAGACCCCCTGGTCAAAGTCCCTGACCTTGCCTTCTAGAATGTTCTTGCTTCAGGGCCTGTGCACTTGCTGTTTCCACTACCTAAAAAGGCTCATTCCTTAGATCTTCATGTGGGGCGTCTCCCTATTCAGGTTTCTGTTTATTTTTTAATGTTTATTTTTGAGAGAGAGAGAGAGTGAGCGAGCACGAGTTGGAGAAAGGTAGAGAGGTAGAGAATCTGAAGCAGGTTCCAGGCTCTGAGCTGTCAGCACAGAGTGCGGGGCTCGGACCCCACAAACCGTGAGATCATGACCTGAGCGGAAGTCAGACGCTTAACCGACTGAGCCACCCGGGCGGCCCTCAGGTCTCTGTTTAAATCCTCCTGCCCAGAGAGGCCTTCCTGACCATCCCTCCAGCACTCTCCATTCCTTTTCCCTGCATTTGGTTCCGCACAGAGCTTCCTACTGTCTCATGTATTCATTTACTTGTTTGTCTCTCCTCCCGAAATATACATGTTATAAGGGTAATCACTGCTCTATCTTTAGTCCTTAGCATAGTGCTTGCCACAAAGAATAAATGTTCAATGAGTAACTTGACAGATCTGGGTAGGGACCCTCTCTGTGTGTCTAACCCTGGGCAAATAGCACGTCCTCATTCAGGTGGAAAACGGAAGTGGTGAGAGTCACCTCACAAAGTTTTGAGGAGAGGACTCCTGGTCCACGAGCAGCCCCTGATGAATGTCACCGAATTAGACTCCTGCGCTGGGTGTCCGCAGTGTGGGCAATCGCATTATACTAAAGTAGTAGTGGCTAGCCTTCAACATGACATAGCCCCCCCCCCAAAGTCCTGAAGTTTCAGCTTCTGTGGAATAGACCAGCTCCTTCCGTGCACTAGGGCACTCAGAGCGAGCCACGATCCAGTAGCCTTTGCCCTGCTGTCCTGGACTGCCTCCTTAGACAAGCAACTGTGTACGTGCTGGGGAACAGACACGTCGTGGCTTGGGATCACTAGGTCAGTTAAAGCCTCACACAGGAGCTCCTCACTTTCTCAAAGGATCAAAGACGACTGTACCCAGGTGATAGTCGAGCTGTGGAAATTCAGCCAGCCTTGGCCATGGGGATTAATTGGTGGCAATCATAATTACCTGCTAATTCATACTCCACTGGTTAAGCCAGCAGTGATTCAGCTTCTGGAATATAGGTTACCAGATGCACAGGAGATTAACCTCCCAAGATATTCTCAGGCATGGGGTTCTGGAACGACAGCCTCCTGTAAGGGTCACTGGGGGCCAGGCTGCAGGATTTGGGGCTGAGGTTCTTTCAAGGCAGGTGGTGGGCAGTTGGGGAGAGGCAGGAGCCTCCGGCAACCTTGACACTGGGGTTTTCTGGTCTCTGCGGCCAACTTGCCGGGTGGCCCGAGTTCACTGCCCAAGGGCCCGACTATCCTGCTGTGGAGCTCAGGTCAAATGCCTGGGCCTTGTTCCTGGTTTTTCTTGTTGCCCTACCCCGACATCTAGTCCCACCAGTGCCATCAGCTGCACCTCCACAATCTATCCTGAGTCTGACGCTGGCACCCGATTCCCACCACCGCCGCCTGCCACTGCCCCTGTGACCGCCTTCCCTCTTCAACTACCAGCCGTCACGCAGGTACTCATCTTTCACTCTTGCCAGCACTATACTTGCCACACAGCAGCCAGAAGGGCAAAGTCATACAGCAGATTGTGCTCTCCCCAACTAAAAATTCTCCCGGTGCACTCAGAATAAAATCCACACTTCCTCCCCTGGTCTGCAAGGCTGTACGTTAGCTGGCCCCTAGCCACCCTCCCTCTCCCGCATCACTTTCCACTGATTCCTGTGTCATGCACCAGTATCTGGCCCAACAGGAAGGCAACCTCTTTCCCACCCCAGGGCCTTTGCGCTTGCTTTTCTAACTCGAAAGCTCCTCTCCCGGAGCTCTGCCAGGCTGGTCCCTTCTCATCACTCGGGTTGCAAATATCACCTCCTTAGAGAAGCCATCAGCCTCTAAAGTACAGCAGCCCACTTCTGGTCATGCTGTCCCCACCCCCGGTTCCCACCACTGTTGAATCCGTGGATAGAGTTATTGTCCGGCTCTCCCCACCAGAGAGTCAGGCCCACGAGGGCAGAAACCTTGTGTTTGTTCCTTGTCTCCCAGTGCCCTGGACGATGCTCGGCAATTAGTAAGACGTGTTGGCTCATTAACTAACTGAAGCTCTCCCTTGTCTGCCAGGACTCTCTGACATGCCCACTCTTTTCTGCTTCCTACCTCCAGCCGAGACTTATTCCCTATTTCCAGGACCATCTGAGTCCTGCTTCCCCAGGAGACAAGGAGACAGCGACTTTACTGGGTAAGGCCTCTCTCCTCCTCTGGGTAGGGTCATCTCTTACAGTGATGAATTACTCTCCAATGTCAAAGTCTTCACAGCGCCTAGCATACTCTCTCTTGGACCTGTTTATCACTCAGTTCCTTCCTTAAGTGCTGCCTCCTCTGAGAAGTCCTCCCTGACTCTACTGCTTTCTATCCCTTTATCAGGAGGTATTTTCTTATCACCATTTAAAGCTAAATTTTTAGTTTTACTTATTTATCTTTTCATTTTTAAGTTTATTTATTTATTTTGAGAGATGTGGGAGCAGAGAGAGAGGGAGAGAGAGAGAGAATCCCAAGCAGGCTTCACACCATCAACGCAGAGCCAGGCATGGGGCTCGAACCCACGAACCGTGAGATCATGACCTGAGCTGAAATCAAGAGTTGGAGGCTTAACCAACTGAGCCACTCAGGCACCCCCTATCTATTTATTATTTATTTTTTTAATTTTTTTTTTTAACATTTATTTATTTTTGA